CAGCGCCGGCGGACCGCGAGCAGCGAGGCTCGGGTGGGCGCCGGCAGCTCCTGGCCTCGGGGGCGGCGGGCAAGGCAGGGTGCGCTCCCGGGGAGGCTTCGGCAGGTCCCTGCCCGAGGGGGTGGGGGGCAAAGGTCTTTCTCCAAGCCGAGCCTCGTCCCGCGGGGAAACGCCGGCTGCTCCCCGCCGGGGCTCCGCAGCGAGGGCCCGCAGTCCCACCCGGGGCTGTGTTCGCTGCCGGGTGACGCTTTATTTTGGGATGCCCTGGCTGCGCGACCCGTGCGAGGCCTCATGGCCTCCGTGTGTACCAGGATTAGAACGCACACCCTGTAGTGGAGTCAGGCTGTCTTCGGTCAACTGGAGTTTGAGTGCCCTAGAAATAGAAATAACGTCCTTTCTGTCTCAAGGCTGCATGGGCTGGTGTCTGAAGAGCGCTTTCTCCCATCGCTGAGGACGAGGAGGAAAGTATTAAACTGTGGTGTAGAAGGGAAGCTTCAAGCTCGTAGGTTTGAGTGCTCTTCGCTTCTTCATCATACCCAATTGCCTTTTCGCTGGTACCGTTTGAAACCTGCATGCAGCAATTTTTACTCTGTCCTGCCTTGGATAATGGGAAGAATGTCAGTTGCAGGCATGTGTTTGGGCAGAGTCCTGTTCTGAAAAGGTTATCGTAATTCAAGAGCCTCTTCAAGTTCCAGTAGCTGTTTTATTTCTAAAGTGATCTGGTGCACCTTGCCCAGGGGAGCAGACAGTGGCCTGAGGCTGGGGGTGGTGGGAATCCCAGCCTTTCTTGCACATTTTCTTCTCAAGAGCAAGTGAGCTGGTTCCCAGCAGCAGCCAAGCATTGCAGTCTCTGCAGGCAGTGAGATGGGAAGGTCCGATGTCTAGGAAACTCTGCTGGTTCTGCAGCATCTAAGACTGGCAGCTGCTTATCTCCTGGGGAACTGGGGAGGAGAGGACTATTTCTGTAGAAGGTGAGGCAATTGCTCTAGGAAATTATTCAGTGGATGGAATTAAAAGGAGGAAACAAAACTGAAAGTAGCCTCTGAGGAATGGTATTTTCAAAATAATATTGATGGCCTGGGGTGTTTTGTGCTGCTTGTTTACTGTCAGAAATTGAAGGCTTAAGGAGCTGTGCTGGGAAGGAGCTGGCTTCCTGGTGATGTCATTCTAAGGAGTTAAATTAGATGATGTTGCTGAAGAGGCACCTGGATGTTGTGCATAGAATACTGACAAATTGCATGGCCTGTAAAGCTGGGAAAGCCCTGTTTATGGGTAAGTCATTCCTTCCCCCAGGCTAATTAAATGTGTTTGAAATGTTAAAAATATCCAACTGTAAAAGCTGTGCTGAAGGCACAGTCATCTTCTGATAGTGACCTCTAATGTTACTCTTCCTTCCTACTTCCCAAGTTTTGTGGCAGAAGCGATGGGTGCAGGAAACCGGTCATGAATAGTATGATCTTCTTGGGAAAGGCTGAGCAGGTGCAGAAATAGAAGAATTCGTGGGCAGTGTTTGGTCCTCGCTCTGCTCTGAGGGGAAGGTTTAGCTGCGAAGAACAGATGCAGTCTCATGCATCTGGGTTTTTCTTGGTGTCAAAAGGCCAATGCCGTAGTTTGTGGTTGTTAGCATGCAGTGCTTTTGTTAGGTGCTTTCACGTTTCCTTTTTTGTTGTTGTTGGGATATTACTCCTTTATCCTGCTAAAAGAGAAACATACAGGTCCTAGGAGATGATTATTGTACTTCCAGTTATTCTTTTTGGGTGCTCAGAAAGTGCAGGCCTTACACACTCATGCCTTTCTGCCAGCCTGGGCAGATTTTCTTGGGGTCCTGTGCGTTAACCTTTTCTCTACTTTGGCCCTTCCTGGCTTGCATCAGTTGCTTAGCTTCTGTGGCTTAGCTGATCCAATGTAAATTAGGGTGATAGTCACTGTGTTAGGGAGAGTAGTTGGAGGCTTAATTAGGTATCTAATGTTTGTAGAACATCTTGAACCGTGAAGGGGCTATGCAGGCACTCCACGCTAATGGGCATGAACAGACATACACTTGAATCTGATTTAGTACAGCCTTTATGATGTGTCTGTGCTAGCTTCTATAAAAAACCAGCAACAATAAGTGAAAACCTTTTTTGAATCATTGCTGTAAGTCAGCATCAGGGGTTTCCATGTTCGGTACTTCTGTTTAGGAATTACAGTGCAACAAGATACAGATACTTTGCTTGAGGACTCACCTTTGTCTAAACACGTGATTCTGTTCTCTGGCTTAATAAAAATTAGGAAATTAGCAAAAGTGGAGATCTGTGTTTCAGAATGACTGTAACTAATGCACTGAAACAGCTGAAAACATGCCAAATGGCTCACTCACTGGTTGTTTAAGGGACAGGAGTAGTGTGTGGTCACAGGATAATTATTGTCTGCTGCTGCATAAATTGTGGGGGTCCTTATGGAAAAGGGTTGATGTAATTGCATTAATTTTATCTGCTGGGTACTGGTGCTGTTACTGCCAGCTCCTCTGCTGGGCAGCAGCTGATGAGCAGGGGTTGAGTTGTGGTGCAGTGTCAGGGACTGGTTCACCTGCAAAAAGTCACTGTTTTTAATTAATTTTAAAGGTTTCTAACCCATGGGGACAGTTTTTTCCTGGGCCCAGCTGGTCTGTGAGCTTGGGTCACTGGAGTTTTGCCAGGGAGAATTTCCTTGTCATCTTTATGGCAGCTCTAGATTCTGTCTGATGTGCGTGCTGAAGGCTGGATGTTTCTCCTCATTCTTCAGCACTGGAGGATGTAGAAGCCTCTTAAAAAGAAGTATCTCAAATTGTTCAGAAAATATCATTATGAAATGATCTGCCCAGACTGTTGGTTTTACAGTGCTTTTGCTGCAGACTTCAGATGTACTGATGCCTCAGTAAGAAATCATAGTTAACCTTAGTAAAGCAATGAATGTGAAATTTGCCACACAAAGGAAATTGTGCAGAAGTCAAGAAGGTTTCACACCTTGCCTGACTTTGGGTCACTAATTAGTTTGACAGATGTTGCCTGGAGGTTGTCAGGTGTTGGTGAGTAGCAAGAGTCTTTCCACTCCTTTCATGCTATTTTGCATGAAATGAGTTGCATCTTGGTCAGGCTCCTTGTGAATAAATGTTGTTACTTGACTGTGTTCACAGAGAGTGGGGGGGTTGAGTCAGCTGTAGGGGCACCGTTGGGAAAGTTCCACTATTCCTGTTCTACTTGTAAATGGGCACTTGAGTTTCCCAGGCTGTAAATCCAGCCTATTTTACTAATATGTAATTACTTTATGATCTTATGATAATACAAAGAGCAGCAGGAGCTGCTTGCATAGTTGTTTGCTCTCCCATAAATTTGCAGACTATTTGAATACTCTGAATTATGTAGTTGCTTAATATAGTATGAAAAGATGGTCAGTACCTACAGTTCCAGCCTGTTTCTTTAACATGAGACATGATTTTTTAGGGTGAATCATGTTGTAGATGCAGTTCTTTTACCATGTAATTCTTCCAGCTGGCTAGCTTCCTTCATTTAGGCCTCTCTGGAAAAAAGCAATCTCTAGCTGATTCTAGACCCTTCCGTGGGTTTTCACGACAGCTATGATGTGACCCTGCCAGAAATGATCATGCCATTGCTATGAATTAGGTTAATACTGAGCTCTGTGAGCGAGGTGTGTTACATAACTGCACAATTAAAGTTCGGGGCTTGTCTGTCTGTTTTCACTTACAGCTGCAGGGAGAGGTTTGGTTCATTTCTTTAATTTCTTGTGGCATATTTTGGCTCTTGCGGCTCTTGGTCTTCCGTGTTTGAGTTTGTCCTCAGGTATTGGGAATGTTCTGGCTGTCTGTAGAGGATGGTGTGGGGGTTTTGTGCGCCTTCTCTGGAGTAAATGCCAGTTACATTGCAGTTGTCTGCTCTTGTGAGAGACTTGAGGCAGACCTTTGCTTTTATGTTTCAGCTGGTGAGTCTTTAGACTATGCAGATATTTACATGTACAGACTCAAGATTTCCCTGTTTTGGGGCATGCTGTGAGTAAATGTCATTTTCGTTTCTGTATTGCAGCTAGTAGTAAAGCCACTCCTTGTTCAGTGGGGGGTGCTGGTGTGCAGATAAATGTGTTGCGTGGTGTACTGTTCTGCTCTGTGTTCAGTTTGGTCTCTACTGCAATAGGGTCAGCATGATGCTGTCTAGCTGCAGAGGGTGATCGCAGTATATGTTATATATGATTTTATGTTGTTTTCTGCACCAGAGACAGAAAACACAAATGCTACTGATGGGAGATTATATATATTGCCTTTGCTCTAAATCATCACTCAGAGCATAAAACCTAACCTGGACGAAGGGTCTCTGAAGTGTACAGGGAAGATACCTTGTATAGCTCTGTGGCCCACATAGTGTTTGGCTTCTCTTCCGAGTCCTGAAAGAAGGGAGAGGAGAGTATTGTATGTCCAGTGGCAAATATGACAGCTAATTTTAAGCTCTAGACATCTGCCTGCTGTAAACTGTATTGAGATCACCAAACTTATTTTACCCCAACAGCTGAGTAACATCCAACAGCTGAGAATCTGGACTGGATTTCAACTAAAAAAAAAATGCCGGATAAAGGCACTGTATCCTATTAAAGAAAAAGTCTCTGCAAGAATTGCTTAGAAAAGGCAGGTGTGGTCCTTTTGTCAGAGCATCCCAAAAAAGATTGCTTGGCCAGGACAGGATTTTG